AAATTAAATAATACATAATACATAATCTGATATACATAAATATTAATAGGAAAAAAAAGAAAAAAAATAAAGATATATACATATTAATAAAATACGTAAATACCTAAAATAAAAAAAAAGAAAAGAAAAAAATATAAAATAATAATAACAAAAATAAAAATAAAATAGAAATAAAATAAAAATGTAAAATACAAAAAAAATAAAAATAAAAAAAAATGAAAAAAAAAAAGAACATAGACTTACCTATTTGGACCAGGACCAATTGATCTGGACCTAGACCAAATTGGGTGTCTACGGTAAATATAAGAATCCTGAATTTTATTGGCATCTATCTAGTAGTAGAACTTGTAATCAATTCCAAGTTGAACTCAACGAGCTAGGATGTGGAAGGTATTTTTCACATAATATTTTGTGATAGATATTGGTCTTAGGTATTTTTCACAGTATATGGTTAAATGTTCTGTATTTTGTAGGAAGTACTTAGGCATCTCAGGAATTTTAGTAATGAAGACATTACTGTTGATGAAGCTGAGCTTCAATGTCATCAAAAGCTTCGAGATCTATATGGTTCTACAAAGGCAGCTAAGGTAAATTCTTCAGTCCTTTCAAAGCCAGTTGTAGGCTAATTAAATGGTCAAGTTACACTTCTATATTATGCTCGCAGCATTTGCAGTGGAACATTGTCCATGGCATAGAAGGTTTTATTGCAACAAGCTCAAAGCTGATAGAAATAGGTAAGTATGGTTGGCTCATTTACTGCACTTTGATCCCTGTGCAAGGCTGATTCATGGTGTTTCACCTTGAATATTTTGAATATTTTAGCTTGGAAGTTGGCTGATGATTGTTGCAAATATGGAGCTGAGAATCAAAATACTAGTTCTTCTCTTGCAAGAGCTGCCCTTCAGTTTGGTAAGTCAAATAAGTCAATGGAAGATGAAAGAGAGACCTTGCTTGGGATCCTTGGTGAACAGGTAATTTCTTAAATCTCTTAAATATTATTATACTTAAATAATGATAAGAGATGTTCATAAGTAACTTGGAACAGTTATGATACCAATAGTGACTTTCATTTATATGCAGGGGTGTGTATATATGAATATTCATTTGCACTTGAAGAAACTTCTGAGAATGTTAAGATGCTTGTGTTACTAGTAATTTTCTATTGGACATTTGATAAGACCAAGCATCTTAAAGGAAAGTTGGTCAAATGTAATTTTTTAAAAAAGAAAATTATAAAGAAATTATGATCATAGTATTTTCAAATTTCTTCGATTAACCTTTAAAGAAATGTTCTATTATGAATGTATCAGCCTTGTTAGTCTTCTTGTTTGCTAATAGTCCAAAGGTAACTAGCTACTTCTAGATTTCTAGTTTTTTAAGGATAATTGAAGTAACATACAGAACTCCAATTATGTGTACTATATGCTTCTAGCAATTAAAAGGATGCACGTAAATCACCTGATATGTGTGTTTGTAGCCTTTCATATTTATGGGTACTCAGGACTTAGGTTACTTTCCCCTGAAATGTACTCCCTTAGGCACTTAGTTTATTCTGGTAATCATAATGTTGTTTGGTTCCTATGTGCCTTTGTCATCTGGGTTGCAAACCTGTGTGCATACCCAGGCAAATCATTTTGCATTCCCTACCCAAATCAATGAGTGGCTATCGTTTGGACTGTGGTTTGATGGACTTAACATACTATGTGATCCTTTTTCTTTCCCTACTAACTTGAGATAAGTACAAATGGAAAAGAACATTGGTAGTGTGATGAAATAGTGTTGGAAATGTAAGATAATATCTGCTAGTTCTGAGCTTCGAGGTTTTTCCACATTTTTTTTTTCTGTTTCTAATTGTGTTACAGGTTTCAAATATGTAGTTTTCTGAACCACTACGGGTGTTAGTTACCGGAGCTCCTTTAGAGGATGCTCGGCTCCTTTAGAGGATGCTCGGCACTTGACCCACTGTTATGACAGACTTTGCCAAGAGGTTGAAGCTCAGGTATTTCAATGTTTTAAAACTTTGAGTAGACCAATTTGGACTGTTGAAATATACCCTAAGGGAATTCTGGTTGATTAGATCATTAACCAGGAAAGGTCAAATATAATTTGTCATGGACTTTGTTGACTGCAGTCTAACTGTAATTTCTTGAACTCTTATCATCGTGTTGCCCAGCCAGTTCATGAAAAGTTTAATTTAGTTGACTCAAAATTTTGATGTGCTCTTAAAAGTGTTTTTTTTTTTGTTAACATGTTAGAAACCAAAACTATGCTTATACTTCTACTTATCCCCAAAAAATGAAAACAATAATACAGGAGAAATATAAAGCATGGGTTTTTTTAAATGGATGAATATGGAATGAGTTAAATGCTTTATTAACTCTTAAGTTTATAACCTTCAAAATTTAATCATACATTTTTATATCTTTCCGTTTTATATATGTATATTTATTTTCTGCCAATTTTATTTGCAAAGAGGGAGAAGATGTGTTGAGGCGTAGATCAAAGACCAGGGAATCTGATATATCTGCAGAAAGCTACATGAAGCTTAAAGAAGCAGAAGCGAGATTAACTGAACTTAAATCCTCAATGACGGTACTAGGAAGATCAGCAACTGCTGCCATGTTGTCAGTTGAGGATCAGCAGCAAAAAATTACTTTCCAATGGCTTCTTGCTTTGGCATTGCTACTTTTTGTTTTAATCTTTTTATACAATGCCTGTAACAAGCTGCTTTTCTTTTGTTCATAAAAAAAAACTGCTTTTTTAGTTCTCATCATCACTATCTTTACAGCTACATAAGATTGATAACTTAAAAGTGAAGGAAGTTTTGTTATTTTTATCTGTGCAAAAAGAATGCTTATTCCTTGAGGATTCCATTTGAATGTACATTTCTAGTCCCAAGTCTAGTTTAGCAAATTATTTATCTTCTTTCCTTGACTCATGGTTCAAACAAAAATACCCCTAGTTAGAGGAAGATCCGGGTGAAAATCTAACGTTATGACTGAGATTCCTAATGGGACACTAATTCTTAAGCAAGTAATAAACAAATTGGACTAAGAGGAAATAAACCTAACTCCTAGAAACCCCTACTTGTAATGCTCAGGTCCTTGAACCTCACCAGAATCATTTTGCAGGTTGATGCTGAAAAATCATATCATCAACATATTCTTGCAATTTTAGAGAAGCTATATGCTGAGGTTTGTACTTATTCACCCTTGGCTCTGTAATTATTCTCATGATATCCACAGGCATCTCCATCAAGTATGGAATTTGATGGGTGCCAAACTGCTGTTACTTTTCTCTTATTTCTTGAATATATTCTTGTATGTGTGTGTGTGTGTGTACGTATACATATATATATATATATATATATTAGTGACATTGAATGCATGTAATAGTAGAGTCTTGCTCTTTTCTAATTTGGTTTTTGGTCACTTTAAAATTTGATTACCTCCGCAAATAAATTAAATTTGAACATATCTTCTCTAAATAAAGTAAATATAGAAACATGAGTTTATAATCTATGGCTGTGTGTAATCATATCACATAGGCCCTACCTTGTGTTTTCTACAAAATATTGAGAAACTTTTGAAACAAATGTAGTTTGACGCGATAATTTTTGCTGAAACTGCCCGGAGAGAGTATTGATTCCCAGAAGCTAAAGCCATTAGCGGGATGTCAATCATTAATGAGTTCTATGAACTGTTGATAAAACTGAGAAAAGTTTTAGCGACGAGCTTACATTGTTGGTATTTTTTTTTCTTTTTATAAATTGACTTGGTTTTGAGTTTTTTAATTTACAATTCTGGACATGATTGTGATGTTCTTTGTTTTAACAGGTTGTACAGCCATTTGATGCTCAAGCAGATGGGGAGTTAAGCTTAGCAGTTGGTGATTATGTTGTGGTTCGCCAGGTACTCTTTCAACTGCTAGGTTAAATTTTTTAACATTTTTACCACATGATAATGATTTTTGTTGTAATATCATATCATTCACAGGGTGGGTCCTGCTGGATGGTCTGAAGGAGAATGCAAGGCCAAGGCTGGATGGTTTCCCTTGCTTACATAGAAAGACAACAGAAAGTAGCAGCTAGCAAGTTAATCGAAGCAAACTCGGCAGCCTGATCTAATTTGATGAGTAGTGGACAGTGGTAAAAGTTGTACATGCCCCAACTCCTTAGTGTAGTGCCCTTGTAAGTAATTACTGGGTACAATATTGGCGAGCAGCAAAGCAATATGGTATATTCTTTTTTCCGTGCTACTGCTATTGTGTGGTAAATAATCAGAACTTAGGATTCAGTTTTGTCAAAACCACTCCTTTGAATCTTGAAATGAATTAATCCCTGGTGCTTTGCTTGCCTTCAAATAAAACAAAGTAAACTCACTTGAGAATGATTAATTAGTTTCAGATAGGGAGAGGGTGAAATCATCGCAAATAGCCAGACCTGTCAAATCCTGAGAACCTTTATCAATGCATATTACATACGGCTTGTTAATCTGGTTTTGCTCATCCAGACTACAGTCTGCTTTTTTTTTTTATATATATATTAAGAGGGTAAAATCTTAATATAAAAAAAAAAAATTTTGATTGAAAATTGATGTGCTCTTAAACATCTTTAATCACTAAGCTAAATGTTAGGGAAGACAGTCTGCTTTCTAAAGCATAGTTCCTGCTTCCATCGCCGTAATGATAGTGGGAATAAATGCTCATTTAACGTAAGGGTTTGTCGATAAAATTAGAGTTTTTTTTTTTTTTTTAAAGTGTGGGGAATGGGGGGGGGGGGGGGGGTGTTGATAAAATTTGGATGGTATTGTTTTTGGACCCTGAGACTGAGAGAACACAAAAGCCATCCGGATTTCGAAGAAAGGTTTCCGGCGCCCGTCCTGGATTTTTATTTTTATTTTACCTCTGTACAGACTAAAACACACAAGTCTTTCTCAGGTTGAGGAAAGTCCTCCACGGATTTCATGTTATTGTTAGCGGCAGACTTTGTTACCCACATTTGTTTTCAGTATAAATTAAATAAATAGAACTATTATATTATCGCTATGTAAAAAATATTTTGCAAGCAATCTAGAGATAAATACTACTACTAATTACCACCGTAATACTTTGCTGGAGAAAGAAAGAGAGAGAGAATACTAAAACGTAAAAAAAAATGATCTGATCCTCCTCTGTCCTCTCCGAAAAAGCAGGCTTTGCCGAAAATGGCATTAGCAGCATCCTTATGCTGTTCTCGTGTCTGCTTTGATGCCCACATCTCTAACTTTAATCCAATCAAACTCAAGCACAAACACAAATGCTCCAACTTTCCTCTTCTGATGATACTCCATGATGACGCCAAATCCTCGCGCCAGCTTCCCCTCACTCCCACTTCCAACAAAAAGTCCTTACTTCTAGGCTTTTCTGCCTCAACCCTCGTGTTTCTGGGCCTGGGTCTTTGCATTTGCTCCTCCGCTTCCGCTCTTAGGTCGCTGCCCCGCCACTCGCTTCAACTTCACCTTCCAAAAGGTACCTTCTTCTCTCTTCCTCAAACTCAAACTCAAATTCAAATTCCCTTTTCTTATTCTTAATTAATGGATCCTTTTCCTTTTAAATTGTGTACCATTCATTGAGCTTCTTCTTCAACAGATCAACGAGTGGAGAACAAGTCAGCGCCAGCAGCAGCAGAAGAAGAAGAAGAAGAAGAAGAGAAATTGGAAGCAGCTTTTGAGATTTGGAAGTCTAAATCTTTTGCTCTCTCCGTTCCTCTCTCCATCGTTGCTCTTCAGGGCTCCATGCCTCCCTCCTGGCCCAAAGATTTCATCTCCTCTCAATCCAGGCGCTTAAAGTTCCAAACCAAATTCCGTCCTACACTTGAAGATATATTTGCTCATCTATGCAAGCCCTTTACCAAAGCCAACGCAAATATTGCGCCTTCATCTGCCTTAGCTGCTGATATTGTCACCATCGGTGACTCCTGGCTCCCTTTTGCCGTTAGAAAGGCTATTATTGAACCCATTACAGCTGCTGAGCACCAGGATTGGTTTAAGGATTTAGGTCACAAATGGAAGGTAAAACAACTTCATTATTTGCTCTATCCAATTCAAAAGTCTAAACATGCCTTACTTACATTCAACTTAAAATGTCCCAGGTCTATCTACGCCGGAACCTTAATGGGGATATTGATCCCCAAGGTCAGATATGGGCTGCACCCTATCGATGGGGTACCATGGTCATAGCATACAAGAAAACCAAATTTCAAAAGCATAAATTGGCTCCTATAAAGGTAGTGTTATTTTATCTGTAAAATAAAAACAGCATGACTTTAGCTCCAACATGATTCTTATTCACGTGTTAGAGACGGTAACTGTCATTGGCAGGCCAATATGTGCGTGCTTGTGATGATGAATGAGCATGCAGTCCTGCCACTTTTAAAGGGTCTATTGTTTTGGAATCATCCATAGCTTTCCTCTCTTGTTTCCCCGATGGTCTCAAATTGATAGTACTAGTATTCAAGAAACTATTTCTTTTCAAATCTTTCTTCTGCTATTCTAGCATAAAGGTTAATCAAGTTTTTGTATTGCTTGTGGAGAAACATCAGTCAATTTACTCTCCATTTAAACCTTCATCACTTGTCTATTTTCTTTTGCTTTTGTTGATCTACGAAGCATTTTCTCATAATGAAATTTGGTAGATCTTGTTTGAAGTTATTTTCTCATTATGGCATCAAGTAAATCTTTTTTGAAGTTATGTCCCAGAATGAATTGCGGAATTTATGCCCGTCTTGAGTTTCAACAAGTAAAGAAATCAGGCATTTGGTAGATTCTGTATGAGGCTTTTATTTAATATGACTGCTGCAAAAAATGGCTCCATCTCTGAAATGCCATTTTTTCTTTCCTATTTTTTTTTATGTATTCTTCTGTTTGGACTGCTAGAAAGATGGCCTTTACAATCATCTGAAATGTCCTTATCTTTCCTTATGTCAATCCTTTCATTACATGTTTCCCAGGTTAGCTTCAGCTCATAAATAAATCATCAAACATGACTTTTTTTTTATGTTATCTCCATTTTTTTTATTATCTTCTCCCATTAACATTGATTATTTTAGGAAAAACCCTATTGCAGGATTGGGCAGATTTATGGCGGCCTGAACTTGCGGGAAGAATTTCAATGGTGAATTCCCCTAGAGAGGTTGTTGGTGCGGTTTTGAAGTACATGGGTGCATCATACAACACAACAGACATTGACTTGCAAGTTGCTGGTGGGAGGAATGCTGTCCAGCAGAATCTGTTATTACTTGCAAGACAGGTAGTGGAACTCAAATGAATTATGTCTCCTCTTCTTTTTCTTTTCTTCATGAGTTTGTACAACATCATTAGGAGTCATTGCATCCTTATTATTGCGGTGGTAAGTCCATTTGGGATTGGCACTCAAAAGAAATTACTGGTATTAACTACTTGAACTGTTCTGTTCTTATTATAAGATAAATATCATTAATCATTAGTATAAGAGAAAAGGTTCCATCTGGTGCTCTGCATCCAAATTCCAGCTACCTCTGAGTTGGCTTGGATCTTGTGCACTTAGCCCTTAGGTGGGCTGTCATGCCACATTGCCGTATGGGAAGCACAATATAATAAGCCATCTTGTATGAATTTATAAATCTCATGAGTCTTCATGCACAAAATTTTGACTCGTGCTGAGCAGAGACATTCTTCAAAGCGAAACCTGTTCAGTCCATCAAATGGTGGATAATTTGCATATTCCTTAGTAACATTACATGGCTTTATTTTAGCTGCAACACTTTTTGATGAATCAATTATTTAAGTGCAGAATTGTGAAATGGACATGACTTTTGTCTTCTGAGACATAAATGTAGTGTTAAGATATTATGGTAACTACTTCTAATAACATGTCCAGTGCAATGGCTCTCTAGTCGCTACATTATTCAATTGTTGTTCAATCCAAATGATGAGAGCTTAAGCATTTCCTGGAAAGCAAGAGGCGGTGTAATAATTTCCCCTTCTCCCCTTTTCTGTCTTAAAAATAAGAATTCCAATGTTGAGCTGAATAAGCTGAACTTTTTTTTTTTTTTTAACTTTTCCTAGTTTCTTCACATCATATTATAGCAATATTTGTTTTGTCTTTTTATAGGTTTTATTATTCGACAGTGTGCACTATCTCAAAGCATTTTCAGTGGGAGACGTCTGGGTGGCTGTTGGGTGGAGTAGTGATGTTCTTCCAGTTGCAAAGCGTATGTCAAATGTTGCAGTTATTGTTCCCAAGTCTGGGGCTAGCTTATGGGCTGATCTATGGGTATTACTTCGAACAATTTCATTTTACTGTTTTTTAATTAATTTATTTTTTCTGGAAACACATGTCGCCTTATGAAGGTTAGATTTGTTAAATTTGTTATCTCTGTCAAGTTAGTGGTGTGTGTGTGTGTTTAATTAGTTAATTATATATAAAAAATAACTGTAAAGTTACAAAATAGAAGTAAAACAAGAGAATGGATAATAATTTTGTGTGATAGAGAGAGAGAGAGAGATGGAGAAAAAAGGAACTGAATTGTGATGAAACATACACCAACAAAGAACTGAGTAGCAAGCAATAAAATAGAAACTAATTTCTAGCATATCCTCTCTTTCAGATATCTAGGTTTATTTCTTTGCAGGTAATCCCAGCTGCCTCCAGACTTGAAACAAACCGTATTGGCGGTCGAGTCAGAGGTCCCTCTCCACTAATCCATCAATGGGTGGAGTTCTGTTTACAGACTGCAAGAACCCTCCCTTTCAAGCAAGGTGTGATTGGTGGTGCATCGCCCTCTGCCTTGGAGAGTACACCTGTCAAAATGCCGGAAGAGTTCACCAAGGGTAAACCAAAGCTAGAAACAAACCTAATTGCTGGAGTGCCACCACCTGAAATATTGGAAAGGTGTGAGTTCTTGGAGCCATTATCTGATATAGCATTGTTGGATTATCAATGGCTCATCGATAACATGCCCAAATCTGGCGCCGGTTTTATGCACATGATAGAGTGTATCTCATCAATTGTTCGAAAGTTAGGGCTGAAATTAACCTAGATTTAGGTTTTGTAGATAGAGAAGTGTCATGTAGCTGTCATTTATAACATTGAAGTCATACAATGCCGATTTCAAGCGGGAGTTCATTTGGGTCATGGTACTAGAACTGCATGTTTTTTATCAGAAGCTTGTGATTTTCTCCATTAATTTGTAAATCTCAGATAAATGCTCAGCGGGGCCTTCTTAATAAATCTTAATAGCACCAAATTGAACCTTTTGTCGAGTTAGCTGGAAAACTAGCTGTCTATTAGTATTAGGGACGGAAAAAATCTAGCTCCTCTAATGCTCAGTTGTATACCAGATGGCTTTGGCTCGAGCGAGAATGTTTCGAGTCATAATGCATTTTCACTTGCTTGAGATTTGCTTTTAGATTGTCTATGGATAAATAATTGAAAAATTACTTGTAACATTTTATTTTAAAATGATGAAACTTTCGTTTACGTCAACGTCAATTAAAATTTGATAAATCTGGGAACTTACTTTGGATTCTCGCACTTTGGGATAGATGAAATTGAATTTGTAAATTTCAAATAAACTTCCCAAGAACTACAAATACAGATTGCCTTCAGTATAATAAAGTTGCCGGATAAAAGCATCTTTCATCCGTCAAACTTATTACTTTAGTGAAAGCATATTTTGCAAAAGAAAAAAAAAAAAATGGCATAAACAACAAGAATCTGCCAAAAGGCAAAATATTCCCAATTTATATGGAGGTCATGTACAGTTAGCTTGGGTGAAATGCATAAGGGGATTACAGCTTTCATAAAGGCAAAACAAAAACAAAATCGAAACGGGGCAATAAAACGAATCATACAACAAGAGGATCCATGCACGCACCTGTCCACCGATGCCAAATGAGGACATTGGAAGGAAGATGCAGCCAAAATCCACTTCCATTAAACAAATCATGTTGAGGTTCAAATGGGTGTAGACCAAGCAGTGCATCTTCGAGCTTCCATCAGCATAAAAAATTTAATGCAATGAAGAAGTGATGCTATTGCAGATTTTCAAGCCCGTCATTTTGTGCTTGCATTACTTCTCTAAATTGTGAGAGATAACAGGAGAGAGCATCATGGATGTGAATCAAACAAGTCTTCATTTTCAGCTTCAATCATTCAATCCGAGTTGGAATCATAAAAATCACTTGGGCATGGGGTCATAACCTCAGATTCAAGCACCTGGACCACCCTGTGCATGGTGGGTCTATCCTCTGGGCTTGAAGAAACACACTGGATGGCAACCGAGAGCAAGGCATTAAGGCTTTCTGCCTGCATTCCCACACAATTTGGATCTACAATCTCTCTTTGTCTATTCTCTATCATCAAGAAATTTAACTGCATAAAAGAGGACAGACCGGTCAATGAATACCCACAGTGACAAACATGCCAAGTTAGGTGTTCTATAATCAAGCCTAGACTGAAAGATGAGAGTTTTTTTTTTCTTTATTATGCAAAAATGTATCAAATCTTGAGCTTGGACCTTGGTCTTGAAAGTTTAGTGCATCATATCCATTAAAAATGACCATACCAATATAATAGAAAGACACCATAACGACCTAAAATACAGAAAGAAGTAAAAACAGATTTTCACCCTTGGATTCTGTTTTTTATTTCCTTTTTGTTCTTTGTTTTTCTTCTCAATGAGACTCAAGCAACTGTCAGTGCCATGAACACACAATAATAGTTTGAAGATTGTGAGCAGCTATTACATATTTGCATCCAGCAATAAAACAGGCGTTCACATGTTAATTCCCTTGCTCTATTGCACAGAACCCTACTTAATTTACTGCAGCACACTTAACAAGCTTTTGATTCAGTCAAATAGATAATATAAGAGAAAGCAATTTGCCTAAAAAAGAAAGGGAAATGTTAAAAGGGTACCTTTTGACCTTGATGAAGACAGTGCATTATGAAAAAATCATTTCCTAAAATAGTATTTAACATTATCTTAACAAGTGCCTATAGGCACTCATTAACCAAACCCATAAAGAAAATGAGGCAAGATGCAAATGATTATGAGTGAAATGCATGGGAATTATTATGTTGAAACTCCAACAGGTATATGCCAACATCAAACCTCAGCCAACAAGCATTCTCCACACACATAGGCTGTTACTTTTGGTTTTTCCCAGAGACATCTACCACCTTACTTCGAAGACAAAAATTTTGTTAACTCATACCCTTCAACCTTTCTCTTTACAGACGTTCAACATTCTTCAAAAAAAAAAAAAAGAAAGAATAATAGGAAAAAAACACATACAGCACATGAAATATACAGTAGAACAACATCAATTAACAACATAATAGGAAATAAGCACACAGCACAGTCAGTACTGGTTGACTGTCAAATGTCTAGACTTCTCAAGCATGTGATTTAATAGCTTAATCAGAAATTCTTTGATGTAAGGAGACATTAAGCCTACTTGACAAAATTTCAAGAGAAGTGGAGAGATACCCAGCCAACGATGTTGAGGCCCTTCTCAATGAATGATGCATCAGTGGGTCTCTTTCCACTTAAGATTTCAAGCACCAAGACCCCAAAACTATAGACATCCGTCTTTTCAGTTGCTCTTCCACTTACCATATACTCTGTTGAAGGAAGCATAAACATACTCAAGATAAATTGAATCTAAAGAGCTTACATTACATGACATATGACTCATCCACTTAAACAAGATCCCAATCACAACTTTGCAAAAGATAAATAAATAAATACTTGACCAGATTAGTAATGCCTGGAATATTTCCTTTGGTTAGGATATAAGTAAAAATTTGCAGTTTTTATTTTCTTAGACACAAATTTAGACATGTCGTACACTAGGGATTGTCAATTAAATGCAGTGTTTCCAAAGACGAATCTGTTTTTGCAATATGAGTTGAGGTGTGAACATCAAGGTCATGGAGCATAAAACCTTGTTTGGCAGCATTTATTTTTAAATCTTTAACAGATCAGAAAAGTTGTAATAAGAATAGTAAAAATCATGCAGAAAACAATTAAAGTTCATGAAAACTATGTAGTTTCTTTTTTGAGAAAAAAAAACCGTAGTTTTAAATGCTTTACGAACATATTTTTTTGTCCAACAGACAGCAGTGTTGGATGTACAGGATCATGATTTGCACCCCCTTGGTGCCTGCACGTGCAGTGTTTTCTTCACTTATGAAACAAAAATAAATAAAAAGGCATAGACACATCCCACTTAAATGTAAAATGGTTAATTGAGTTCCCAGCTAAAAGTGATATAAATAAAGGTTTGGCTAAATTTTGGCTTCTATTAGTTGCTAGGGCCAACCAAAGATTAAAAAAAAAGCATCATGGGACATGCCTGTCATGTTTCAAATAAGCCATTAAAAGCGAGAGAAAAAAGGAATTTTTTTGTGTGAGATCAACTCTCACTTGTCCTATGCCAAATGTTGACAACAGTACGATTATCAAAGCATCTCCAATTAAAAGAGATCAACTTGTTCAAAACTTCAAATGAATGCCCTTAGCATTGATTCCCAGTTTTCTTCCCTCTTTCTCTTTACGTTTCTTATTGCCTCCTTTTCATTCTTGTGCAAATTTACCCAGACATACTAGATGTTTAACTGGAAAATGTGGTTGTTAAATTAAATCAACATCATTAAAAATAATATCACAATATTCTTTCAGTAAAGCTAACTTCATCTCCTTCATAATTCAAGCTTAAAGAGAGCTACGGGCTCCACAATCATAGACAATAAGCCAATATTGAAACCGCATACCTGGAGCCAAATAACCAAAAGTTCCTGCAACAATGGTTGTAATATGAGATTCTTCATCTTCTAAAAGTTTGGCAAGTCCAAAGTCTGATACTCGAGCCTCCAAGTTGCTATCAAGTAAAATGTTGCTGGACTTTATATCACGGTGTATGATCCTAGGAGAACAATCATGATGTAAATAGGCCAACCCTTTTGCTGCTCCCATAATAATGTTCAAGCGTGCTTCCCAGTCCAACTGCTCAGATCGTTCTGTTAAAAGAATCATAAAACAACATCATATCCACAAACAAAGAAATCAACCCATGCAACAAATCAGTAGAATATCAATGGTCCCAAAATTGTGAAGGAATTCCCAACTAATGGTAAAACAAAGAAAGAGAAATGTTTAAGTTCAAGGTTAGTCAGTCAATCCATGAAAAATTACATGTCTTTCAATTTTCTGAAATCTTATGATTAAGTTAAACAAAGAAAAATGTGTAGTTCAAGTTTATGCCAGGCCATTGGCTGCTTTTGGATAAAAATGGTTATGGGAGCCTCACCATGAAGAGCTTCATCAAGGCTACCACCAGCCAGGAAATCATAGATTAACAGCTTTGATGTAGGTGAATTATAATATCCTCGCAGGTTTACAAGGTATCGATGTTTTATGCTTCCAAGAATTTCAAGCTCTCTTTCAAAAAAACGATCAAATCCCTCATTTATCTTCACAATTCGTTTCAAAGCAAACACATTTCCGTCATCCATTGCAAGTTTGTAGACGGTCCCAAAGCCCCCAGTACCTATAATGTGTTCCTCATTCAAAGTTTCCAATTTCTTAATGATGTCTTTTGAAGAGTATGGCAAGTCTCCATGAAACATAAAAATTGATGCCCCTGAAGCAACAAGACCACATTAATAAAGATGTTGAAATCTTATAGAGTAAACATGAAAATTGCAAACAGTTAGATTTTCCAAAATTGAAGATCAGTTGGGAAGAACACCTCCACTGACATCCATGGCCAGAGTGTTGCCCTCATGTTTACCAAACTTCTTATACAGGAAGCAACCCCAAAAACACATGAGAGCCACCAAAAGCAGTGCACCCATGGTTCCTGATGCACTAATGAGAAGCCTTCCAGAGTATTTCTTTTTACCACCTTGATTTTCAGCTATAAAATGAAGATTGAAATACTAACCAAAGTGACCTCCAAAAAAAAAAAAAAGATCCAAGAATAAAGTTGACAAACTTGTTAGGAATTCAGATTTTGTGGACAAAATTTAATTTTTTAATATCCATAATTAACAGTGAAATGAGCACCAAACAACCAGATTTATACATTCCCAGCATATGCAGCTTACCTGAAGTAGGAGATTTGGAATTTGTTGTAGCTCCTCCATGGTCATCTTTGCATGTTATGTTGATTTGCTTTCCACATAAACCACGATTTCCAACAAAACTACCAAAAAAATTTAAAACTGTTTAGTATCATAATAGTATAGCAATCTTCCTTGACTTTTCAAGCTGAAGTGGCCAGCGGAAGACGAAGATTCTAAAAGTGTACAACATAGGTATCAAGTATAAGAGAAACACTTCCTGGAACCCCCCTGAATGATACTTTTGCTGACATAGCAAATAAATAACCAAAGATCTATTGAAAACAGTATAGCAAAATAGCTTATACTTACGAGCTCGCTGTATAGTTGCCAAAGACACCTTGTGAAGGTATAGGCCCAACCAAAAAATTGTTTGACACATTGCTTCAAGATATTCAATAAGATCATCAAAGATGAGCTCATATTCAATAAATTCTGAAAGTAAATCAGTAAAACACCTCTATTTAAAAATTAAAAATTTTGAAGTAAGGGAACTAACCATGTAATGAGCTTATCTAGCTTCCCAATTGAAGGAGGAATAGATCCGCTGAGAGAGTTACTTGAGATATCCCTGTAAATTTGAAAAACAGTGCAAGCATCATTAAGTAATCCAACAGTCTCTTTACCACTCTAGCTCACATTTATTAGCAAGAGAAACAACTTACAGATTCTGAAGGGAAGATAGGTTCCCCAATTCACTTGGAATTAAACCACTCAAGTAATTACCCTGCAAGTATCTGTAAATGGATGCAATTTCAAAATAAATTCTTCAATACCGAATTTACAGAACCCTGAAAACCATACAAGGTACTTCATATTTCCATACACACTAGTTGAACACCACAATGCCATTCCTTCAGAATATAAATACAAAACCTTGGATATCAAGCACAATCAAGCAATATTTAGGCAAAACTAATCAAAAGCAATGGAAAGTTTGTTTTCAGATTTTGCTTTTCCTCTTCACATGAAGAATGACTAGATTTGAGAATATCCAAGTTGGATAAAATATCAAGAAAAAGTCCAAAAACAGAGATTACTCACTTAGCCAAGCTCAGCCTCCCAATAGATATCACTTGGCCTGGTGGTTGGCCTAGTCATTGTACCCATCCAATGAAGGGTGAAGGTCCAAGGTACACATTCCCCCTTGGCCTTTGCCCAAACATACTAAAAAGGATAGCATACAGGTTGATAATTATGAAATTAAACAAGCAATTTTTCTCCATTTCATCAATTTATATGCCACCAGTGCATACATATGACATATGCTACACATATAAGAACAATAGGACCAAAGCAAGACCCACTGTTTGACATGTGGCCCAAAGAGGCCGATTTGTTATTCTCAGTGTATGAGAACAGTAATCCTAGTTAAATCCCTTTCAAATCCATCCATAATTCATAATCCAACAAAAGAAAAGTTATTTTTGAGGGTCGAACTATTGTTTTGCATCAGAAGCACAGGCCACAGCCAAATGATGAACCTCAAAGTGAATGAAAGATTTTATATTTCTTAACATCATATCCTTTAATCCTACCATTTGCAAGATAAACCTATAGAATAGCCAACAAGACTTTTCAAGCAAGAAGAAGCAGTAGATCACTGCACCCACATGTGAGCAGCAATACTTACATTCCCTGCAGCTCTGTGCAATTACCCAGCTCTGAAGGAATGGACCCATAAAAGTTATTGTTATGAAGTATTCTGATTCACATCAAAATTACAGAAAATATCAGCTGTAACCAAATATATTTGAATACAGATCATGCATCAACTATGGAAAAAAATAAAAAAGTCCAGTAATACATACAAAAGCCTCAAGTGCTCCAGCTTCCCCAGGTCAGGTGATACAGGACCACTCAGTTTATGATTGGTAAGGCTCCTGAAGAGAAAACATAGGGGAGAAGAATATGTTAAATGGCACTGTCATATAGACAAAGTTGTCAAAGGGAAGACATATTTGGACATGATCTTCAAAACTAACAAAGTTGTCACTCTCTTGGTTTTGCTATCACATGCCACCCCTTTCCATTTGCATGGATCAGGATCCTCTGGTCTCCACTGAGAAAGCACCCCATCTGAACTAACAATTGCTATCCGGAAGCTTAGAAGTGCCTCTCCTGCATATCAGGAAAATAACTTTCACATTCTATAACCAGATATTCTTATTTCCTGCAAGAAATGTGCCTAATAACTGGCTAGCTAGAGATTCTATAGCCACCCAAAATCTGTTATTATTGAAACTACAATCTAAAAGACGGTATTAGAAAAGGAAAGGAAAAGAAAGAGAAAGGCTAAATGTAAACATGATCACCAGAGTTTTACAAGGTGGAAATTTTCAAAACATAAAATTTCCTAAGTAAGACAAATTAACCCTTATATTCCAACAAAATGAGTATCAACAGAAGGAGAGCATTTGGGAGCCTTTTTAAAATGATAAGAGAATAAGAGGAGAAAAAGAAACTTTTAAACATCAGCTTGAATTATCTGATATGAGATATATATATCACCTACCATCAGGACTGATAGCTCTGATTCTGTTTGTTAGGATAAAAATGAATAGTATGTTAAGCAGCCATGGCCATTTACATTTCATCAGATAGATGCCCATAATGGCTCTGACCAAGCATAATATAGATACTACAAATCATTTGATACGCCAAGCTCGAAAACCCCTCCTTGTTGTAACATATGTTTATCTGGTCTATATCGCCATTTGGCAGCTACAAAAGAAAGAAAAATGATTCCTGGCAAGAAATAGAGAAGCAAGATAAGAATTAAAACTGATAAGGAATCTGAAACAGAAATAATATTGTGCATATCAATCTTCTTGAATCCAATGCAAATTGCTACTCAGACCCTTCCAATTTATGCAAAAAAGCATAAATGAAAACTTACCAAGAATCCCACTCTTAAAAAAAAAAAAAAAAAAAAAACTATTTTATTTTTTTGTTTAAAGAACAGAGAAACTCAAAGCAGCCTCTCATGTAGAAGCAAAGGACAACATAGAGCACCAAAGTCTTACACATTAATACTTGTTGAATGATTGCTAAATCATGAATTTAGAAAAAATAAATAAATCATCTTGGATACCATAGCAGCTTTGATATCTATGATGGACAAGCTAGTCGAAGAGAGTTGCTTATTATTGTGCTACACATTGGGTGACATAAATCTTAATGAATGAACCGATCTGAACAATAAAGCAATTTCATCGAAAATACAACTTAGAGACAAACAGCAGATATTTATAACAAATAGCAGTATTAGACCTCAAAGCCGTTTTCAAGGAAACTGAACCCTTCTGATAAACAACATTTTCATCATCAAAGGGTTTTTTTTTTTTGCATTCCTTATCTAAAATAGGAAGAAATTAGCACTTCGGTCTACAAGCAATTCGTTTCCAAGTCTCCATTAATTTCAAGACATTTCTGCCAATTCAAAGTTGCACATACTAAATAGGAATACAATACAAGTGGTTAATCTAAGAATCAACTTCTACAACCTATATTGCTTAGTTACATTCTCTTTTTCTCAGAATTTGAAACTAAAATAATTGCCTTTAAAATTTGACAAAGCTGACAGAAGAAAAAATTACATTGATAAAGTGACTGAGGTTTAGCAACATAAACCTTAAAAAAAAAAAAAAGAAGAAGGAAAAAAGAATGAAAGAAAGAAAGAAAAGGAACGCCTAAACAAAGCTGGTCGAAATCAATGCACATGAAAACGAAATTGAGAGTCCGACAATCCGCCCTCCTTAACTTAAGCTATTTATATTCCAAGCATGCTAAAAGAAATTGAGCTAAAAGCAAATAGTAAACAATCTGGAACTTAAACATAAACAGAGCTAAGAAAAAAGGAGAAATTGGGAAAACCTTTGAGATTGATTCGATCTGCAGGCGATAAGCTGTAAAGAGAAAACGAACAAAAAAACAAAAAATGGAGAAATAAAATGATTCACTGCTTCTTGTTGTACGACTAATGAGTGCGAGATTGGTTTTATATTTTATTTTTGTTATACTTTTTGAAAGTGAATGTGATTTTAGTTGTGGAAAGAGAGTGTGCGAGAATTAGATGCTTGCATTTTTATTTTTTCTTTTGGTTCATGAGATGCTTGGAATTACAAGGCGAGTTGAGCTGAGCCAACGAGAACGAGGTGCTTCTCACGTGCGACCGTGACCTTCCGTACGTGCCAACCGACGCTTCCTCCTTTCCAGAAACGATTATGAAACGAATAGTGAAGAGACTCGAAGCCTCACTCTGTCACAAGTTGAATCGAAGAAGGCCATGTGGCCCAATTATTTAAGTCATTTAGTAGTCATTTTATATAGTCAATATATATAAATCAACAAATTAATTATGTTGTTAGAAAATTGACAATTGATGTAAAAATGATTACATAACCATTATAAGAAAAAAGTTGTTACAAGAAAAGATACAAATTTACATCCATTTTTTACATTCTAAATTTTTTTTATCTATTTTCTTTTTTTTTTTATCTCTATTTTTTAAATTTCAGCTATTAAAATTTTGAGTTTTCACAAACGAGTTTGAGCTAACAATGGTTCAATTGAGCAATTTCATTTTGGATATCAGAGTCTCAGATCTTGAAAATGTTAGAAAGTACGATAACTAGGTTACAGAGAGACATGAGTAAGATGCAAAAGGAGTTGGAAAGGGTAGAGGCCAAATTTGACATCTCTATCAAGTAACTTAATGATAAGATTGATTCCTTTGTAGAAAAAATGCATGGCATGTGTTGAAAATCATGAACAGTAGGCAAAGTTCACCTCAAAAAGTTGAAATGAGAGATTCAACAGTACCATCGGATAGGAAACATAAATCTATTGTGGGTGATGTGGAAGGTAGTAGGGTCATTATGCATAGACCCTTTCATACTAATAAACCAGAGAAAGTTGCAAGGGTACCAATCAAGTACTCTAAGTTAGAATGCCCAAAATTTGTTGGAGATGATTTTAGGGGATGGTTGTTGAAGATTGAACAATTTGTGGAAGTTGAGCCCTAGGGTAAAATTAAAATACCACTACTTTTAACATTATTTTACTTATTCCGTCAATCGGAAGTAGGGTAAAACCCCTTCTTTTGGACCTAAGGCCAGCCTCAATTGGTTGATCCGAGCGAAAAACATTGTCAGGTGAGGAGTTTCACTGGGGCAGTACATCTGTTAAAAGATAACGTAGGTGTCCAAAGATGAGTTCAACGAGAAACAAAATCTTGTATGGAACAAAAGGGTAAAAGCTCATTTGATTCTAATTTTCAGTACAAATATGAACTGTGAAAGCGTGGCTTATCGATCCTTTAGACCTTCAAAATTTGAAGCTAGAGGTGTTAAAAAAGTTACCACAGGGATAACTGGCTTGTGGCAGCCAAGCGTTTATAGCGACATTGCTTTTTTTTATCCTTCGATGTCTGCTCTTCCTATCATTGTGAAGTAAAATTCATTAAGTGTTGGATTGTTCACCCACCAATAGGGAACGTGAGCTGAGTTTAGACCGTCGTGAGATAGGTTAGTTTTGCCCTATTGATGCAACGTCGCGACAGTAATTTAACCTAGTACGAGAGAAATCGTTGATTCGCATAATTAGTCATCGTGCTTGGTTGAAAAGTTAATGGCATGAAGCTATCGTGCGTTGGATTATGACTGAACGTCTTTAAGTCAAAATTCATGCTAGAAAATGATGTATGCGCCCATCGTCAATTGTCAACCCGCAGTAGGGGCCCATGGCCCTTAAGGGCATGTGTCGTAAGTGTAGCCCGCATGGCAAAGAAGCCACGTTGGCCTCTTTGGAGCTCAATTCCATCGAGCTACGGGTAGAATCTTTTACAGATGACTTAAATACACGATAAGGTATTGTAAGTGGCAGAGTGGCCTTACTGCCATGATCCATTAAGATTTAACCCTTTGTCGCTTCGATTTGTCCCTACCCTACCCTCCTCTTCTTGAGTCCCCTCGTTTCGTTCTTTTCACGTTGCACCCCTCTGAGGTTGGGGATGAATGGTGCCTTTCGTGTGGGCACCTTCTTGGCAGGTACCTAGCACTTAGTGGCTCAGACACCTCTTTAGTAGATGCTAGTGTCACAAGCTCCGATCTCAAACCAAACACCTTACAGCCTTAGACTGGGAATAAACTCTATATGCCTAAGTCAACCTATGAAACTGGGGATGAATGGTGCCATCCGTGAGGGCACTTATCGTAAACTCCATCACCATACGCTGGCCCTCGATATGGGTTATTGCTTCGAACGTTGTTGATAACGTCTGGCCCTTGGCTGGTGCAGCCAATCGTGTCTAACACCATCGCTCTTAGTAGATGCTGGCCCATCGTTGCCTTAGGATATTGCCTCAAAGACCTCCTTGGTAGGTGCCTGGCCCCTCGTTGCCTCGGACACCCATTTGGTAGATGCTAGTGTCATAGGTTCCACTCTAAAACGAAACACCGTATAGCCTTAGACTGAGAATGAACTATGTATGCCTAAGTCAACCAAGGAAACAAGCGTGCAAGTACTAAACCAACCAGAGAGGTAGAATACTTAAGCTAAGGATTGACTAGGTCCCTCTTTGTGTTTGGTGCTAGGTTGTGCACCAAACGCTCGCACTTGGGCCCGAGCCACGCACCATACGCATCATGACCTGGTAGTAAGTTGGTTCGGACACATCCTCATATTTTTATCATGCCAAAGCCATTTTATGGCCTGTGAATTCATATGAGTGTTCGCTAGTGCCTGCACACCATGCGTTAGTGTTTTAAGCCTGGGCCGAGCACCACACGTGCCACGATCGACGGTTGGTGGGTTTAGGCACATCTTTATATTTTTGCCATGTCAATGCCATTTTTATGGCTTATAAATTCATACAATGGTCCCCTAAGGCTTCACGTGAAGTTTAATGACAAAATGACTTGTTTTCTATTTTTTTTATTTTTAAAATTTTTTACGATTTGGAATTTTTTTAAATTTTTTTAGAAGGAGTTTTGGCCCCAAATTTGGTAGACCTGATCCTTGTATTTTTGTTGGCATGTAAAAACAAATTCAGCTAAAAAATCAAAGTTAAAAGATTTGTGATCATTTGAAAAAAGTGTCCCAATTTTAGACACTTGAATGGCTACTGATAGCAAACCTATAAAAGCTAAAATGCTCTTTAAAGGGGTATGAGTTCTTGAGGTTTTGCATACGGGATAGGGGGCCAACATAAGGGCCAAATACTAGCACCCATCGCACATCATATGTGCACACCTCATGTTCCTTTACCCTTAATTGTTGGAACCCTTATGGTGTCAACCAGGTTCTTCGGTGATGCTCTGACGATGGTGCCCCACATAAAAAAATGTGGCACCAGCACATGCTCGAGCCCAACATGTGCACCGTGGTAAAAAATCAAACTCTGGCCAAGGCTTTAACCACTATTAGCATAAGTTAGCGTTTAGTATGGGCATATGCCTCGACCACCATCAGCACATGTTGGGCCTTGGTGTGGGTACTTACCTCAAATTCCATCGACACATGCTGGGCCTCGATGTAGGTGTTATGCCCTAGGTGGTTTCACTAGGCATACCAACATGTGCACCTGAAGTTGAGGCTCTCGTACTGGCTAGAGTTTGCACGCAAGGCCTTAGAGAGAAGGCTAGACCTCCCTCATAGCATGCAGGCCAGCCCGTACGGCCAAAGCTTGGCCCACATGATACCCGCACCAAATCCAAAAGGGCCCAAGAGGAGAGATGGGTAAGGGGATCTTTTAAAAGCGCACAGGTTCAGTAGGAGCCTTCTGGTAGATCTGGTTGACCTTATAATTCAAGAAATAGAATCCTGATTGAATGTAATCTGTGTAATCCTAGATTGATTGTAATTTTTTGATTCTAGAGATTTAGCCATAAGTGTAACTGGAGCCTCAACTATAAATAGACGACTGTTCCACCCTTCTTTATACAATATCATACACTTCTATTTCAGTAATACAAGAGCATATTCCAGTAAACTTTTTTGTTCTCTTGTTTCTCTCAAACTTACGAATTCTATCCTTCCCATTATTCTAGTGTTGGTACGAGGTGATTTTAAGCCTAAGACCGCACGAATTCTAAGTCTAAGGTCAGAGCCTGTGACAGTTGGTATTAGAGCAATTTTGGTTCTACTTATTTGTGTGTGTGCAGGTTGAATCTCAGTTGAGAAGATGGCATCCCAAAGTGATGTGGCTAGCCAACATCCAAATGCTCAAAAGTAAAGGCATGAAAGAGGCAAGAAGGCCAGTTCGAGAGATATTTAATCTACCATGGATGGGAGGCTGGCCAAGGTAGAGGTGACCATAGGCAACCTGAAAGAGAAGCTTGATGATGTGGAAACTCATGTTGAGGCACTGACTCCATGAAGGAGGAACTGAAGGGTGAGTTACAAGCTACTTTCAATGAAGGCCTGGGTGTGATCACCCAAAGGAATAAGACCTTGGAGGCCTAGGTGGAGACTATGTGCATTGGCATAGAGGCCATACGTAAGGTGATGGAGGAGCTCAAAAGCAAGTTCGCTGCGTGCAAGACTACCATTGGGAATGGCATATTTACTGGAGCATCTAAGACTCATGTGGATATCCCCAAGCTCAAAAAGTTCAAAGGGATTAGTGCAGCCCAGGAAGTAGACAACTACTTATGGGGCATGGAGTAGTACTTTCAAGCCAAAGGGCATGCAAGACAATGCTACCAATGTAAGCATCACTACTATGTATCTTACTGATGTGGTCTTATTGTGGTGGAGGCGCAGGTGTGATGATGTGAGGCATGAGAGCGCCAAGATTGGAACTTGGGCAAAGTTTTAAAAAGTGTTCAGGGAGCAATTTTACTTGGAGTATGCCAAAGATGAGGCACAGGCAAAGTTGCATAGGCTGAGCCAGTAAAAGGACATAAAGGAGTATGTCTAAAGATTCTTTAAACTAATGCTTCAGATCTCAGATTTGGGTGAAAAGGACACCCTGTTTGCTTTTATGGATAGGCTGAAGTCGTGGGTGAAGCATGAGTTACAATAGAAGGGAGTTCATGACTTGGCTAAAGCCATGACTATTGTTGAGTCCTTGGTAGAGTTTAAACCACTGAACAAGTTTGAGTCTTTCAAGCCTAAGGGTAAGGGCAAGGACAATAGGGACCAAGAGAAGTAGTCTAAAGGTAAGGATTATGACTGACAGTCCAAAGATGAGGACCGAGATCGTTCAGACAAATATGGTGAGAGGAAACCACCAACAGGCAAGTGAAAGCAAATGGGGACTGAGAACTGCTCGCATGCTACCTATGTGGAGGGAGCCACATAACGTGTAACTACCCACAGAAGGGTAAGTTGGTTACTGTAGACAAAGAGTCTGACAAAGAGCCAGAGACAGGCGTAGAAAAGTTAGG